GTTACTGCTTTGACATGACTACTGAAACTAAGGTCTGTCTCCAGAATCACACCAAGATTCCACAATATTACTGATTTTCCTGTATTTTTGATCAAATAAATGCATCCTTGGTGAGCAGAAGAGACTTCTTTCAAAAACAACCCAAACTTTAGAATTTTATTACACCAGTGATATTAAATAAATGGACAAATTTTAACATCTAAAACTAAAGCATCACTTTTAAGATGATGTTTTTGAAAGCTGTACTTTTTCTGATGTCCTCTGTAGTTGAGCTGTCGTCCACCAGAGTCCTCCACAAATGAGGCGACTGCGGTCACTCCTGTCACTCTGTCCGCCAGCGGCTGTTCGGAGAATCCTAAATACTACAGCTACATCGCAGTGCTGGCTCTCATCGCCACCACCATGCTGGTGCAGGTCAGTCACATGGTCAAACTCACCCTCATGCTGCTGATCACCGGAGCTACAGGTGTGGTCAACATCTACAGCTGGAGGGACATCTTTGACCTGTACGATCTGACGCGCTTTAAAGAATACAGGTGGGTCAAGCACTAATCACAGCAAGGATTAGCAGTATTATTACCCATTAGTACTCTATTATTATGTGAATAGCATCTCAAATCAAGCAGTCTGTTTAGCAGAGGTGTGTTGTTACTTATTTAAAGGGATAGTTCACCCAAAAATGAAAATTCACAAACCTGTATGAGTTTCTTTCTTCTGTTGAACACAAACAAATACTTTAAATAATATTGGTAACCCAACAGTTGGAGGTAGCCATTGACTTGCATAGTATTTTTTTTTACCCCATAAGTCAATGGCCAATGCCAACAGTTGGGTTACCAATATTATTCAAAATGTGTTCAACACAAGAAAAAAACTTCAGGGTGAGTAAATTTTTGGGTGAACTGTCCCTTTAAGTGATCAGACTTGTGATTTTCAGGGATTTTCACCTGGTGGATTATAAAACTGTGAAACATCTCTTATTTACATCGATTAAGCCTGATATCTCTAGGTATTATAATATCATTTATTTATTTATTTTTACAGAGTTCATCTTGTGCCCTCCAAATACACCATGAGTGTGATGATCTTCATCATGATGGTCAGCTTCTACTACTTCTCCCGACATGTGAGATTTCATTTTCTCTCTTTCTCTCTCTTTGTGATCATTTTTAGTACTCTCAAAAATGGAGAATCTGTAATTATTCACAATGACTTTCTTCCTTTAGTGAGTAGAATTTTTTGAACAATATCCTGGCCTCAATTTTCCATATAGAGCCTAATGAAAGCTTCAAGATGACATAAAAGCACCTTAAAAATGAAACTACACCCATACAACTCACGTGTTCTATTCCAAGTCTTCTGAAGCTGAAATTTATGTTGTTATTTATTGTCAAAACGGTCAAATTCCTTGAAGCTTCCTTGAAAAATGCCATATTAGATGTGCTTTGTCAGGTTTGACATCAATGACATTTGGTTAGAAGATGCAAGAAGTAATGTTTGTTGCATCAGATAATATTAATGCACCATTTTTGTCCGAACAGCTTTTTTGAACTTCGGCAGAGGGGACGTTTTCAACAAATAATGACTTAAGTTTTAGCCTATTCCTCACACCTATCGTATGGCTTTAAAGGACTTGGGATGCAGTGCACTAGTAAAACAATCTACTATTATAATAATACTTTTAGGATGATTGTTTTGACATTTTAGAGCTTGACATGCGTAGTTTCCATTTACCAGCATTATATGGTAAAGAGCATCCAGGATATTTTTTAAAAACTCACTTTTTGTTTTCCATAGAAGAAAAAAGGTCATATGGGTTTTTGGAATAACATGAAGTTAAGGAAATAATGAAAGAATTTTAGTTCTTTGGATTAAATTTTTTTTTTTTATTACACTACATTTCAATAGTTTGGGGTTGGTAAGATTTGCATTTATTTGATCAAAAATTACAGTAAAAACAATAATATTGGGAAATATTATTACAATTTCAAATAACCGTTTTCTTTTTTAATATATTTTAAAATGTAATTTATTTCTGTGATGCAAAGCTGAATATTCAGCATCATTACTCCAGTCTTCAGTGTCACATGATCCTTCAGAAATCATTCTAATATTCTGATTTGCTGCTCAACAAACATTTCTGATTATTATCACTGCTGAAATATTTTTGTGGAAACTGTGAAGGATTCTTCGTCACTTTTGATCAATTTAATGCATCCTTACTGGGGGGAAAAAAAAGAGTTTTTGAGCGGTCGTGTACATTCTCACCTTTCTTTCTGCTGGCGTGGCTCAGGTGGAGAAGCTGGCACGCACGCTGTTCCTGTGGAAGATTGAAGTGCATGAGCAGAAGGAGAAGGTGTACGAGATGCGACGCTGGAACGAGGCTCTGGTCACTAATATGCTTCCGGAGCACGTCGCCCGGCATTTCCTGGGCTCCAAGAAGAGGGATGAGGTGAGGCCTGTCAGTCCCAGCTTCTGTGTTTGTCTCAAACTCTGTCAAACTCAATTAACTTTCCTATGCACACGTCCCAGGAGCTCTACAGCCAGTCCTACGATGAGATTGGAGTCATGTTCGCCTCCATCCCAAACTTCTCTGATTTCTATACGGAGGAAAGCATCAACAATGGCGGGATTGAGTGTCTGAGGTTCCTCAATGAAATCATTTCCGATTTTGATAGCGTAAGTACTAGTAGTAGGAGTATTTCACCCAGTCGTTGCCAATAAAAGTACCAGTTGAGACTTTATACTGTTATTTGTTTGCTTTTGTGCTCTTTAGCTTTTAGACGAGCCGCAGTTTCGCTGTATAACCAAGATCAAGACTATTGGCAGCACCTACATGGCAGCATCAGGAGTCACTTCAGACAATAACACTAACGGTTATGCTTGTATGAAGGTAAAGGAGGTACATGTGAGTCCATCTAGTTCTACAACCCCAATTCCAGAGAAGTTGGGATGTTTTGTGAAATGCCATAAAATCGAGAATATCTTATCTGTTCATTCTCTTTAAACTTAACTTAAAGTTAACTTTCATTTAATTGACTAAAGTACAAAGAAAAAATGTCCAATGTTTTTACTGACTGACTTATATATAGACAAATTTTGATGGCTTCAACACACTCCAAAAAAGTTGGGACAGAGGCACGTTTAACACTGTGTCACATCAACTGATGTATAGCTTTCTCCTAGAGTAACAGAGATTCAAGTTGCATTTCTTGATGCAGCAGCAGACTGTGGTAAATGACAGTGGTTTTCTGAAGTACTCCTGAGCCCATGTGGCTATATTTAACAGTGCAGCATGACGGTTTCTTATGCAATGCCATCTGAGGGCTCAAAGGTCAAGCACATTCAACTGAGCTTTCCTGGACAACTTTAAAGGTGATTTTCTCAATATTTAGATTTTTTTGCACCCTCAGATTCCAGATTTTCAAATAGTTGTATCTCGGCCAAATATTGTCCTATCCTAACAAACCATACATCAATGGAAAGCTTATTTATTCAGCTTTCAGATGGTGTATAAATCTCAATTTTGAAAAATTGACCCTTATGACTGGTTTTGTGGTCCAGGGTCACATTTAAGTTGGTCAGTGAAAACTTTGGAAATCTTTTCTTTGTACTTTTGTCAATTAAATAAAAGTTCAAGAGAATGAACAAATCACAGATTCTTGATTTTATTGCATTTTACAAAACGTCCCAACTTTTCTGGAATTGGGGTTGTTTTAAAACAGAGGTAAAGAGGATTTTTTTTGTCCTTCCCAACAGAAAGAAGCGATTTCAGACCGGGAACGGTGGCAGCACTTGGCAGATCTTGCTGATTTTGCTCTGGCCATGAAAGTCACGTTGATGAACATCAACTACCAGTCCTTCAATAACTTCATGCTCCGCATCGGTTAGTGGCCTGACGTCCAGCTGTGTGTGAACGACACAATGATTACGCCTCATGATTTGCTGTGTGTTTTCTCCATAGGGTTGAATAAAGGGGGCGTTTTGGCTGGTGTTATCGGGGCCCGTAAACCTCATTTTGACATCTGGGGAAACACTGTGAATGTCGCCAGTCGCATGGAGTCCACAGGGGTGATGGGAAACATCCAGGTGATGGCTTTCACATTGTTTTAATGATACCTTCTGGAAACACCTTTCCTAAATTTAGTTCAGCATCAGGGACTCTATTACTAGAGGTAGCAATGCTACATATTTCAGTCATATTTCATTTGATTTTTCAAATTTCAAGACACGTCAAAAATCACAAGGGGTTTGTACTAATATCTTAGAATAAAGCCTGAGAATGTTTTCTAAAACAACCCAGGACGATGCAACCGCAAGTTGAAAAGTGCGTTTTCGGCCTCATTACTGCAGTGTAACAGTGACGGCGCTGTAAGGCAGCTAAACAAACTCTGCTTCCCCCAGGTGGTGGAGGACTGCTACTGCATCCTGAAGGACTACGGCTTCCGCTTCGTCAGGAGAGGACCCATATTCGTCAAGGGGAAAGGAGAGCTGCTCACCTACTTCCTAAAGGGACGTGAAAAACAAGGCTCCTTCATTAACGGCTCTTTTGTCACCCTGCCGCACCAAGTGGTGGACAGCTCTTGACCGACACGCGCACACACACTGTCCTACACAAAACTCTTGCTCGCGCACACCTCACCTCGTACCTCTTCTGCCGAGTACATGTGCTCCAGTAATTAGTACTTTCAAATGTGTTTTCTCTATTTATTAGGCTGAGGGAAGAAATGTTGGCAGAGACTTTCTGTTTATATGAGAGAAGTACTATATAATATACATGTTGGAAGTGTGCACAGAGATGAATGAATGAAATCAAACAAGCTCAATGGTTTTATTAGGTTGCTAAAGAGATGAACAGGTTGTTTTTAAACTCAAACCGCACCGAATACAATGAACTCTACTGTATATTACGCACTGCGCTGCTCAAAGGAACCGATGAATTACCTATTTTTGTTCTTCTTTTATTTGAAATAATTTCATTATTTAATCCTTTATTTAAAGATTGCCCTGAAAGTCCCTGATATATCTGAATGTTGTTTGCCATTGAAAAGCCTTTGCCTCTCATGAAAGTGTGTGTGTGTGTGTGTGTGTGTGTGTGTGTGTGAATGAGCAAGGTCTATAGTGTGTGTGAGAGAGCGAGAGAGTGTGT